TGCTGAGTAGGCCGGGCTGGCGTGGCAGACTGTAGGCGCGGCGTAGTAGTAGCTGCAGAGGCTACGCCAGTTCTAGGCACTGCGGAGTAGGACGTGCAATCGCGGTGGTGGGCGTTGGACGTGCTATGCGGATCTGGCAGCTGCGTGAGGCGGCTTCTCTGTAAGCAGGCAGGATGAAGGCGGGGGACGGCGATGGATGTGTCCCTCAATGTGTGTTTTATGTAGGCGGACCTGTCCATGCTCGCGAATGCGTGCACTTGTGGTCGCATCGTGGTGGCTGAGCGTATCATTTTGTGGGGAAAGTTCGAAGATGACGGTTGCCGGCTGGCGGGAAGCAGAAGAGGATGCGTGGAAAGCAGTTTAACTGCGTACGCCTATTGTTGGCCGTTTTTTCGCAATTGTCTACAGCACGTATTGGTAATGACGCTATGTGAAATAATAAGGTTATTACACGGAGGATTGTTGTAGTGGCGGGATTATGGAGTGAGATCTGTTTGCCGCTTTAGCGTTTCGTTAAAAGTAATGCCGGGTCGACAATGTGGGTGTTGTGTGGGAACAGGGTTTAAATGGATGAATTTCATCGTAGAGAAGAGCGAAGCTGCGGTGAACGCCTCGGCCTGGTCAATTCGGGCTTGGCCTGCGTACCTGATCTTGATGCTGTAGTAGATTTCTTGTTTCATCGTAACCATAACAATGTTTTTAGTGCAAAAATTAAAAGGGTTCGGTGAGCTTGTTACTTGTATTGTCTGAAATGATAATTGCTTAGCGTTAATAGTGTATATTGCCAGCAGTTTATTATTGAATATTCGATCCGGAGTAGAGTAATATAGAGATCTATACGTGTATTCGTACTCCTGATACTTCATAATTATTAGTTATTGTTATTTATTGAGGCTACGTGCGTCTATTCACTAGATTATTATTAGTAGTAATAAGTACTATTATTGTTATACCGACTGATAATAATGATTTTATGCACTAGCCGGAGTTAAGGTGCGGGGCAAACAGGGGGCACGTGCCGCCGGGCGCCCCCACATTTGGGGCCCCCGCACATTTAGAGCGTGATCCTAAAATTTACAAAACTGTCGTATTGTGATGCCACAAATTCTTAAGGCATGGAAACGTTTTTTTTGAAGTGATGCGTTTCCCATGCTGTTTCTCTGACTGAATTTTCGCTGATTCAGCTGAAGGACACTTTCCCTAATACCGGAAATTGCTGCTGAGAAGTCTATCTTTTCTATTGATGGTCCCTCCGGAATTGTAGCGGTGAAAGGTATTTTTTAAAACGTCAAGTTGAAGTTAAAAATCACATGAATCCCACGATGAGCGCCAACAGAGACCTGCGTACCCTGCAGTATTCTCGCTTATCGAATAGTGGAGCCTTTTGTTAAAAGTTCGTGTTGAAAGCGACGATGAAAGTACTGCTCTGACATTTGCAAGCATGCAAAGTGGCAGAAAAAGATAGCGGAGACTGAGTAGGGCCGCGCCACAGCAATTGCGGGGCTGGTAACGCTGTGTTTTACACATGTGTTCATTGAAGTGTAGTCGAAGGTGGAGCTAGACGGGTAGTTGTTCTTAGGCGTATAGTCGCAGCGGTGTAGACAAGCGTTCGCTCACGGCAGGATGGGGCGCTACATGATGTTACCGGAGTTGGTGAGAGCGGGTTTAGGTTAGGCAGTTTCTAGGGTGGATTGTGAAAATGGAAGGGAACCGTTGGAACTGACCACAGAACGGGTGAGCTGATGTGCGGTCGCAATGATGTACGGGGGAGGTTCTTGGGGCGAATATGCTAGGGGAGAGATGTAAATAGAAAGGGAGATGGTTAAGATCGGGTGCTAGGTCGCCGAGAAGGACGCGCGCGACGTGGGCGTCCGCGCGTGTGCGCGGTGCTTTGTCTGTATTGTGGGCGTTGTCTCGATGGAGAATGGCTACAGCGACGTGTACGATCCTTAAAAGTTTATACAGTTCTACCAGCACAAGTTCTGGTTTGGATCTTCTTCATCATTTGCGACATCAACGGCTCATGGGCCATACGTTAACAGTGCGCCGGGCCGCGCCCCACATCCCGGGGCGGCGCGCTTGAGTCGCGGCCCTGGATTTATGTTATTGTTGATCAGCCGTCGCAATTCACTATCACTGTCGCCATATAATCTATATATGCATGTTGCTATATATTCTAACTGGTTACATAATAAGACGCCGGCTTTTGTCGCGGAAACGCATTTGAGGAAAATCGGATGGATTGACATACTGCGTAACACCTCTGTAAATACGCAATCGCTTTTCAGCTGCGGTTTGTAAAGCGGGTGCGCGAGTCTCAGCGGTTTACCGTCGGTAGGCAAAAAATATAGCAATACATATAATGTACATGTAATGATATAGTAGCAAAATATTATATATATATAGTATATATACAATATAGATAAACATATATGATAAAATATTATAAATATAAAATAATAAACAAGCACTTTTAGGCATTCTTAGCATCCCGGATTAGCTACTACTGCAAGCTTTGGCAGCATCCCAGGATTGGGTTAGACAGGGCGGGGCATAAAATACGAAGAAGCAAAGGTGGCCTGGGGGGAACCTGAGCCGATTATCTAAAAATGCCATCGCTGAGAAAGCAAAATTAGATTGAAAGTATTATGTCAAG